CAGGAACAGTGAATATGGATTTTGAATAAATACCTACTAAATTGTAGTGGTATTTCTACGTATTTAAACTATCATACTTTGTTGTACATTACAGTTTTTAACCAATAATATATAATGTACATGTATACATATGGCTTACCTAATAAAGTACAGAAAGTATGATTGACTTGTTCTATTGAACGGAATAAAACACTTTATTGTAACGTCTATTGTTAGCAATATTTTGTTGAAAATAAATAACTGTTATAATAGTTTTATTATTTAACGGAATTAGTTAGTAACTATAATTTGAATTATTAAAAACTATTATCCAACTTTATAGATTTTGATGTATTATGTATATGTATATTATCATCAGTAGCAAATAAAATATAAATGTAACAATTTTTTTAATCAGATTATTTAATTTGAATATAAATATAAATAATACATGATAATTTACTGATTCTCGTAGTTATATAGTTACTTAACTTATGTTACTGATGTAAGTATCAAATTATATTTAACAGTTTTCTTATTTGAAATTTTAAATGCACCGAATGAGTATATATATCTATTATATATTATTTTTGTCATTTCATCGTAATTTTATTTTGAATAATACCTACAACTATACATTAACTTCTATAACTGCAATACAGTAACAGCTTAAAATTAAAAGTAATAATTTTATGAATATGATCATTGGTCACTTATAATAGTTACTAAAATGACTAAGTAAAATTAAAGCTGGTCCTAACCGTTAAATGGTTGTACAATATAGTTGGATGCTCAGAGTTAAAAATAATCAAATATGATTGTGCATAACAAATAGTTTACTAATTATCTCCATAAAATCTTAGTCACGTTTGTGTAATATTGGTCTGGCGGATAAATGAGTAGGAAAATAACCAAAAAAAAAAAATCCTTGTCTAATTCGTCCCGCAGGGACCATTCGGCCGCTGAGACTTACAACTCCTCTTCTAGAGTAATAAAAACCGACCGGAAAAGTCTCTACTATACCAGCCTCCGGACAAATTACACGTGCAAGGGACATTCGTTAAGATAAGTACACACGTTTTATTGCACGAGCATAATATATAATGCAATAATTATTGTTCTCAGATTTGTGGTATTTCGTTGTATACATTTTATTGCTGCTTTTATCTCATTCGAAGTTTGATTGATATTGAACACATTTGAACATAGAATTAATGAAATTAATATTTCTGGAAATAATAACAGCCCAACTCCGTGCACTAACTTGAAACGTTTAGTCACTGTAAACGAAACAGTTTTAAGTGAATTATCACTAATTATAATATATCTTTGAAATTGATAATTATTATTTATCTTTTATATGCTGATTAAACAAGCACGTGGTTATCATAATGATAATACTAAACATAATATAATGTTCAACATTTGTATGGAACTTAAGAAAAAGGCTTTAAAATGTAAGTAATTATTATGCAAAATATGTGTGTAATAATAGGCACACTAATCATTGTGACTGTTAAAAATATTTTGCACTGTACCTATTATTAAGTCATTATTATTTCTGCTATAAGACTGTTAAATTATAAATTGTATAACATTATATATGTATGGTTGTACTTTGTCATATTCATTTGTGAAAGACAATGACTGAATAACCGAGTACAATACATCAATACGCATACACGCTCGTCCTTTTGTACTTACTTATCAGGCAAATATTTGATTTTAATCAATACACATAAGCACATAGGATATTCAAATGCTTTATAATATATTTACCATGGACGTCCAATACAATTTTTATTAACTTTTAACCGTATTTTAATTAATTCCACATTTGCAAAGTGCGTTTAGTTATTACCCATTTCTTTTAGAGTTATATTATATACTATTTATATTAGCGGAGCTTAAGTGATGGTTACTAATTTTTTTTATGGATAAAAAAAAGGATTACTAAAATTATTTCGTTTTAGTGTTTTTAATGAATTTTAAATAGTAGGTATATTCATTGAATTGAATGTGTTTATTTTTTTTCTCAAATAAATTCTTCTAAGGAAAGATATTTTGGACTAGACTGTTTGTGTAGGATAGAACCAAATGATAAACGTTAGTATGGAATCCTCATTAGTGTGTCTGGAAATGGAAAACATATTAGTGTCGATATTACACATCCTTAATTGATACTTGGTCACAGATAATATCAAAAAAAAATACTTTGATCACAAAATGTAGTTATTCTAAATCTAGGTGCAATGGAAATCGTGTGTAAAAGTGAAAACATTTTTACATCACATACGATCAATTAAAATACCATTAAACGCGAATCGTTCAAAAACTATATTATGTACCAATGAATACCGTATAACCACAATTTAATGAGACGACTTTATCTGTAGGTTACGAGTCATTAACACTGAGGGTTTCGAAACTTTATAAAGAACAATAAAATTCTACTGCAGAAAAGTAATGACTGACATCATTTAATGAAAATCAAAATATATATAGTGTATCTGCTACTACTACATATTACTGTATAACCTTACTTCTTAGTTATTATGATGATAAATCTATCGGAAGCAGCTTTATTTCGTTATACTTTTACTAAACTAAATCAAACTAAACTCTATATAAGGCTCTAGTAATACCCGAATAGTTTCAAATGGCAAGTTCCATCAGAAAGGCGAGATGTTGTAAAATTAGATTTTGAATCAACATTTTTAAACTAAATATTTCAAATAAATGTTGTAAGTTTGAAAACGCCTATACTGCGTGTCTTGTTGAATTCTATCAGAAAATAAATTTTAACATACGAGCATTCAATATTGATAAGCTAAATCATTTATTTATTTTACTACCTACCTTATATTTAAGTTGGAGCGATAAAAAAAAATAAAAACAACTTAAAGTGTAGATTTATGACGCAGTACTAAACTTATTCACAGTAGAAACCTTGAACACCTTTTGGCTTTTTCATCAAAACAAAATGTATACAACCAAAAAAATAACCATAAAAATATAAGTAGTGATAAAAGTAATAATAAAATAAAATAATGGAACGTTATGTCAATCATAATGTTATGGTTGAATAGAACCAAACTAACTACCCACTCAAAACATACTACTTGGACAAAAAAAAAAGAAAATAACCAACTTTCGGAAGTTTATATAGTAATTTACCTCAGTTTTTAATTAAAGAATTTTTAAAGCTTGGTTTTTAATTATAACTGAACTATTTCAAGTTAAAAATCATTATATGTTGAAAATGTCTGTATAATTCTTCACGTCAATTCAATAAAAATAAGTAATTTTTAAAATAAATAAAATATGTTTTATTAAAAATGTAATAAATTTGTAGTGATTATCGAACAAAAATTTGATATAGTTATGATAATAATAATTTATTTAGACTTGAATTATACCATTTTTTTTCCGTCAACTGTTATAAAAATAGAAGAAAAAAAATGAGAAAAATGAGAAAAGTCACTTGAAATAATAAATATGTATACCAAAATCATATTATACATTATACAGAGTGTGTCCAAATAATATTTACTATTAGTGACGGGAGTAATTCAAACTCCATTAAGCAACCACTTTAAATTAGTTCATCCTCGTGGGACACACTGTATTCATATGCCTATATATGAATGAAACACCAAAACTTCATAAAGTATTTAACTAAATATAAATATTTTACAGTATTATGTTTCACTATAACAATTTAATTTTCAAAGGCAGCAACATTAATGAGACATCGTGACTCTTACACAACCGTCAACCAAATTTCACTTTAGAATCATAGTCTAAGCGTCACATGATATTTATGGAAAGTTTTAAGAGCCATAAATTGTACATGATAATGTAAATATTATTATAACAAGTTTAATTGGTGACATCCAGACTCATTTTGTGGTCACCCATCTAAAGCATAAAGTCGTATTTCATGAGTCGTATTATACAAACGCAAGCGTGTAAGGTGGGTTTTTCTTCAAATACAATGTCGGTGGCGTTTAACTATTTATAACTATTGGAATTATCGCGAGATTTATAGTATAAATATTTGACAGCATTTTAACAGCAAGTGTACAGAAATCTGAGATAGGTAGTCAATTGTTGGAAAACCATCGGGCGTCATAATCCACTGTCAGACACCGTATAACCTAGCTTATGAATGGAATGGGATAAAAATAAAAACATTTTGTTACGAAAAAATCGTCTCTTTACAGACATTTGTTAATAGAAACAAATAAAAAATACACTCGATTTGGGCGTTTTTCGACCAAATTATAAATTGACAATCGTTGTGTTCGTGAATCAATTCTAATCGGTGATCAATTCACTAGGAAAAAATACAATATAGGTAACTACTGTGTGTATATAATATAGTAATTTTCCAAAGTGTATCAGATCATCATTTGTTTATACAACGCATATTTATCAATAAATATTAAATTTAATTAAAGCTTAATGGAAATAAGCTAGGTTCTAAAATCACAATTATTTGAAACTTAAATTGAAAATCATTATGCAACAAATTAACAAATTCTATATTATGTGGAATGAATGAATGATACTATGATAGCGACTGCCTATAAACCCAAAATTCCACCTCTGTATCTTAAACTGCATTTACGAAGAATGTACCGTAGGATTTTAAATTCTAGATGTAGGATGATATTTTAGGAGGGACATTCGTTTGCAGTGTGTGGTGATCACACTTCTTAAAAACTCTATAAACTACTGAAAATTGTAAATCACCCGAATAGTTTCATATAATCGCTGTTTTAATATAATATTATTGTTATAACTTGAATGATGCATGAATATACTATGGGCATATTTTGATGGACTTTTTAAAAATGGTATTACTATATTAATTTAAAAAAAAAAAAAGAAATCAACTCGTAAACACTGGGTCACACTCGCATGCGACGGGCGGACGCTGCATAGTTGCTCGTCGCTCGTCGTCGTCTCGGTGTAATATGCTCCGCTCCGCTACCGTCACCACCACCACTGTCACTTCAGCGTTGGGACTGGAGGCCGGGGCAGAAGGGACGGTTTGGAGTTGGAAGGGATGGTTGGAGGAGTTGGCTGGAAGGGATGGTTGGAGGAGTTGACTGGAAGGGATGGTTGGAGGAGTTGAACGGAAGGGATGGTCGGTGGAGAAACGATGATCCCGGGCCGGCAGTGCGCAGCGCCCGGTACCAGTTGCCTTCAAAATCAATAGCGGTGGGGGAGGACGTCCGGAGGGGATAGGGTGGTGGAATAGGGAAGGAAGTACGGGGTGGCGGGGTCATGCTTACGACGGCGGTGGTTCGCGGCGAACAGGGTGTACACACTGCACAGCCGGCGGCGGCGGACGATCGGCCCGCGAACGTCTTCGCTGTTTTCTTCGACCACCGTCGCCGTCGCCAACGCTGCTCTCACACTATCGCGCTACCCCCCTCCCACCACGACCAACCCTTAACTCTCTGCCTCAATACCCTCGTCGACGTCATCTGCTTTTCCTAGCCATACAAAAACAACCCCCTCGTCGTCGTCGCGTTGAAAAGAGTATTTTCCCTTCATCGACCGCCGTCTCGTAGGCCTAAGGCTCTTTTTATTAGAGCCCATCTCGGTTAGCAGTATTTTCTTCTTCATTTTTTTTTTGCGGATAATAATCACTTTTCTTTTCTTTTTTTTTACTCCCTCGACATTATGCAAATGTACGATAACTTTGTCACCGAAATACTACACGCCAGACTTGTCCTCCTCACCATCACACTGTGTACTACGATGTACCGTCACATTAATTGCTATCCAATCATCGCAGTAACTGCATGGTACTCATTTAGTGTTCAATTGTTTGACGTTAAATTGATAATGATTGACAATAATAGTAATTATCAGTGCAATGAAAACAAAAAATGTTTCAAAACTTTTCACCACAAATAATATTATTGTCAAAGATTTTAATTCCAAATATTCGTACACTTCCTAATCTTCCACATCTACAAATTAATACAATAATACTATTGTCTTTCATTCTGTCAATTTTTTCCAATCAATTTATTTTAATATGACTTGAAACTCAAAGCTGAATCTACTAAGAACAGTATAACAATAGGAAATAGTTATTTATAAAACAATTTTAGGTACCCATGTGTATATATTTCAATTTTCAATAACTAATATTAATTATAATCATGTGAGATGTCAATAAATTAAGAATAATATATTATAGATAAAATTGGTTTTTATCAGAGTAAAAATAATTACCTAACTAATCCGATATTAGTCTAAGAAAATAAAATAAATCCCAAAGCTTAGAATGTATTTGTTTGATGATTCCATTGTGCAAAATATTACAACAATAATATACCATGACATTGGTTGTGTACTATATCTATAAGTTGCAAATACTAACGTTAAACCAAAAATAAAAATAATAATACGTCAACATAAAAATAGCATTGTAGTTTCTCGAATAGACTATAGAGGATTTTCGATTTGAGTTAAAAATATTTACTGCTATATGTATTTTTTTTTATTTAAGTTATGGTAAACTTTTCTTCTTATATAGAATTATAAATTCATATTATGTATTCACAAAAACAACATAACATGAAGTATAATATGCTCATTTTGTATTGATATTTGTATGAATGTATAATAAACAGTGCATGACATATTATTATGGCCAACGAATAATAGTTACATTCGAAGTACAATATTTCAAAAATGGTCTTTTTATTTATTTTTTTTTTTTTGTACATAAACAATGGTGTGTAAAATACAAATATTCCAACGGCAATTCCGTTTTTAATTCGAGCAAGATAGATATTTAACCAATATATTTCAATTAAAATTTCTCAAGTTCTTATCAAAATCATAATTATATATTTAATTGATATATTATTTTTGAAATGAATCACAACTACCATGCACTGAATAAACATTTAATTTAACTCATCACGTTGAATAAAACAGAGCAAAGACTCGCGCTGACTTTATCAATATTTACTTAAAAAATTGATCGAAATTTAAAGTTTTCTAAGCATGTTAATGACAAAGCGGTTATTTTGATTGTATTCAAACTCACTGAGAATATAATCGGTGTTGAAGTTATTATGCGAAAATAGTTTCTGTTATAGCGATTAAGAAATAAACGATTCGTGAGAAACTTTGAGTAGTTCATTATTGTTTTCAGTACCTACACCATATTGATTCGGAAAACATTTTATTATTTTTGATTGAAATGGATTTAAAATATGTCTACCTACCTAACAATAAATAATTTTTTAAGTAACCGTTTAAATTAATAATTATTTAAACTACAATGTTTGTTTTTTTCCTTTCGATGGTACAGATTTTTCTTTTCATTCTAAGGTCACGGTGTTATTATACATTTTTGTCATTAATCTTGATTCTATTAAAAAGAGAATTCGATGAACTGAGCTGTTTCCACCGTTCAAAATGTTTATTTGATAAAAAAAATAAAAAAAAATATAACAAATTACAGTTCCGAAAATAAGTAACTCGTTGTAACAGAGACGGATTACCAAATTTCAGAAGCTCAGTGATTTACAAGCTATCAGTATGTCATCACCAAGCACAGAGATTTGAAAAAATAAAATTATATTTTTATATTTATCTATCAAGTTTTTTATTTTATTTTTATTATTATTTTATTATGAACATAATATCATACATTATACCTACACCTATGAGTTATAAACTTACAACAAAAGTCATGCGTTTATTTTTTTTATATAAAATATCACTTATTTAACTTAAAATATAAGTTTTTATAATTAATAAGCATAAGTAATCGAACAAGGCACCAAACGTATACCTACCATATTTCATATTTATGTTATGTACTCTCAATTGGTTATCTAGATTCTAGTCATCTAGAAATTCTAAATGGCTATATCATTGCATTTTTGATTTGTAGTGTTAATTGTAATTTGTAGGTACAATGTATGGGTTATCGTGTTGTTTTGGAGCAATAAATATGATTTTAGCTGTAACATTGAAGGTGATTTTTGATAAGCAATTTGATATAAAATCTAATTGTTACCTACTTAGGGGCTTTAATCGTAGAATATTCCAATCGCTTTACTAAATAGTTATAAAAAAAACTAACAAAATTCAGTGGGAAAAAGGTATTTCAATAAATATGATTTATGATTACCTATATAATTTTTATATCACCGATTCTATAGTATGTCAGTATTAACTTGTTATTTAAGTATAATATATACTTGGAAAAAACTTGATCAACATAACAAATTAAAAAATAATAATAATAATAATAAGTAGAATATTATAATTTAAACTGTTCATAGAAATATATGCTGTGAGGTACCTATACCAATTGTCTCATTTTCTTATTTTTGAATACTTTCATTTTAGTGACTTACTCAATGGCTAGTAACATTAGAAATCTATATTAGGCAGAATAAGTGAATTGCCTGGTTTTATTTGAGCATAATTTAGTCTTAATAACAACTGTTAAAAAAAATGATTTAAGGTGTTTCTATATTCAAATATAAAGTGACTTGATGTCTTAAAATATTAAATTACTTTACCTCGAGCACACTCGTAACCAACTATACAGCAGACCAAGTTCTACTTTTTTTTCATAAAGTTATTAGAAGAATCAAGAATATTGGATTTAAAGGGTTCAAAGGGGTGCGTACTTCAAAGTTATCTGAGTATGTCAACTATGAACTTTATACTTGTTAGAAAGTCTCAAGACAGTCATTATACTTCATTAATAATTCAATTCGTATAATTTTGGTATTTGACCAAGGAATAATTAAATGAACGTTTAACGAAAATCAAACATATTTGTTAATTAATTATTTACTTATGTGATATTACATACGCTTGTTATAATTTCAATGAGGAAATATTTGTTTATAAATATTTATCATTAATTACTGAAAACAAATCAATTGCATAACTAATAAGCATCAAATATTCAAACTGATTATGAAGACTCTTAAATAATTTATTATTGGTTATACTTTAATATGTTTGATCAATATTTATTAATTATTAACAATATCAATTCATGATTTCTTTCATAATTTGTATTTAGCCATATATTATTGAACTCATGCATTAAATCAGTATTTTACACTATACTGTAATAACTAAAATAACGATAAACTTCCAATTAGTATAACCAAATATCTAATGAATGACTGTATGCGCTTTAGTATGGTTTTTATACAGTTCAATGTTTCTTATTTACGTGTTTTGCCACACAAATATTAATAAATAAAAAAAATCTAATTAAACGTTTTTGAAACATTTTTAGCTCCTCCCCTTTTTTTTCGTGACCGTACCAACCTTATCCTCATTGCGTGTAACACGTGCCCATAGTGGTAATCGCCAAGAACAGTCACAAAATGATGCAAAAAAAAAAAAAAAAAATATAACGACACAAGCAATGAAACTTTAACAAATCGATCATTAATACTATAGTAGCTATTAAAAGATGAACAAAGTGTGCACAAATCAAGAAATTTGTCGTAATATATAATGTATAACATATTATAGTTGCATTTTAGAATATAAGAATATGTACAATATTAAATAATAATGCTATGGTCTGTAATGATTATGGTCGAGTATAATAATATATTAAAATATTTCTTGTCCAAGGGAATATTTTATCGCTTTAACACGCACACGTTAGCCACCAGTTAAAACGTTATTTATTTATACAAATTTGCATTCTCGTAACCTTATTAAAGGCAATTCCACCAACAATATGAGAGCGAAATACAGAAGGAATATGTGTGTGTGTGTGTGTGTTCGTGTATGTAAGAGAGAGAGAGAGAGAGAGAGAGAGGGAGAGAACGACACGCTGAACTAAACGGATTCGAGTTAGCGCATAAATTTGCATACACATCGCCTACATCGGCGGGGGGAGTCACAAAAGCCCCCGAATTTGGTGTGCAGAACAAATAAGCCGAGCGGGTGCGTTGGCGGTGGAAAAGGTCTCTCCGGCGGGATGAAAGAGGATTTTGGTGGATAGAGACGTTTCGTTAAGTGAATATACTATTCAATTTGGCTTTAAAAGAATACAGAAGAGTTACGACTGTATTTTAAAAAACAATCGTTACAGTTTATAAAGAAACTAGGTCAAGTTCGGATTATCAATCATAATATAACAAGTTATATTGCAAGACGCACTATATTATTATACCATTATACATTTTAATTTTAATTAAAGTACCTCTGATAGATGTGCAAATGTATGTTTCATAATGTTATTCAAAAGAAATCTATAACAGATTTG